AGAGGAACCAAACAGGACAGGCTTAAACTCACCCTGGAGATGCCTCCATAAAGGCAACCTGTTTGCATAATCGCCACCTTGTTTTGAGTTGCAAGTAAACCTAGTGAGGACCTGTTTAGCAATCGCTTGTACACTGACGAACACAGAAATTCTGCATAATACAAAATAAGGATGATTTCAGGTCTCTTGTTTTGGTGCTTATGGATGCTTCGTTTCCCTAATTAAAAAGCCACCTGCTGTCATGTAAACGCTGGCTGCAGTACAGTCCCACTAAGAACAAACCTAACGATGCTGCTCACAGTGCAACACTGCTACTGCCAAGCACCTGCCCTTGGTACCATTTTTGTGTATCAATAGATTGAGGTGATTTTCGTGTGGCCAGGCACATGAAAGCAGGCTGAGTCAGTTTCTTACTCTGCACTTCAAGCAGTTGCGTAAGGAGCCAATTCAGGAGGGTGAAGGCTGCTATTTACGTGCCGGACTGACATGCTGCTAGCACAGCAGTCTACCTTCACTCCATCATCACAGCTTGGTCTCAATGCAGGAGGATTTCTTTGGGGGCTGACAGGACAGCACAGCTCCCACCTTCGCGCTGTCCATGATGCTGTCTGCTTGAGGTGTGCAACAAGGGTGCCTGTTTGCAGGGTTTGTTTGAACAGGCCTGCAGGCCATGAACTGGACGGAGACCAACAGCTCAGGGCACAGAGGACATCCTGCAGCCGTCCTACGCTCAGTTTCACTCATTAGCAACATGGGTGCATTCCAGCACGCTTTGTCAAAACCTCCAGTCCCACCAGCTCAGAGCAATTTTCCTCATTGCAGAGCAGCTGTGTAGATTCAGACTGGAAAATGAAGCCAAGGAAGGAAGCAAAGTCCTGCTAGCAACACATCTTTCCAGTACTGAGTTCCAGTTCATGTAAAAGTACACGGATCTTGGAAATGCTCTCAGTGGTTGTTTGACAGAACATTGAGTTGAGATAAAGGTGATGTAAAGGAATGCCTTGAATAAAAGGGCATAACAGGGGTTCAGCAGCTTGAACCAGAATGCCTGCAAACCTGAGAAACGTTTGGTCGGATAACCCATGAGAGTGAAGGAAGCTTCTGTAAGCTCAAAGCAACAAATAGTGAGATAATTCTTGAAATATAAAGGACATAAGGGATGTCCATCCATGTCCCAGAGTCACTCGATACACACAGTTTACTGATGTATTGGCACTTCGTTGTTTTTCTAATCTGCTTGCCTCTATCTTTCATCTGATCCCAACAAAAGCCAGAAACCCAAACACATTTGCTCATCTGATGCACCTCGCTGGCTTGTCCCTTGTTCAGTAAGGTTAAGGAATTAAATTGCATTTTTTTTCTGTGGATGATGAAAATTGCACGCAGCAGCAAAATTTTAAGTGAGCAGTTTCTCACCCTTGGAAGAGCTACAGTCTTAAAAATACACCAGTAGCATTTACAGAACATTGTAAAAGGTAAAAGACAATGCATGCTACATGGGCATGTGAAGATTTTTATTTCTGGAGTCAGATTTTGGAGACCAAAATAACACTAAACCCTTGCATATCATTGTAAATGTCTGTACATAACAACATTTTTTGATTCCTTGGGAAGAAGGGAAGTTTTCATTCCTATGAGAATTCTATTGAGTTGTCTAAATATGACAAGGCAACATGGTAAATAAAAGAGAAGACTTTCATTAAAATGCCTTTGAGAATCATTTTGTTGCTTCATCTTCTCTTGTGCACCTTACTATCTTTGTTTCCAAAATCATTTCCATACAGCCAGAGCACAGCTGATAAGGAATTGCATTTTGTTCCTTCTGGAACTGTCAGGAGCAGGATGAAGCGTGTGTCCCCACTGCCTAACTGTGATTTTTCTTCTGAGTTTGGTTCAGTCCCTCGATCCTGTTGCATCCCAGCTGTGGGTGGCATGGAGGAGGCTGTGGGCTCACTGCTCTCTCACTCTGAAGCCTTCATTCCCTCCAGTCACGACCCGTGAAATCCAAACTGGAGCTCTTCTCATCACTGTGCCCACACGATTTGCCTGCACAAGTCTCAGAGAGGGCGGCTAATGAGAAGTAGGTGAGGGACATGCTAATAGCACTGATGGAGTGTTGTGAGTTAAGAGCCAATTTCAGCTCTGGACCAGGGATACAGCTTGCGTTAATTCAGACGACAGCTGAACCCGAATGTTAAGTGAACGGAATTTCAGTTTTGATGGAAAACAATCAAGAGTTTCCCATTTCAGCGAGGAGTTATGCCAAAAATGCCCGCAGGCTCCCACAGGCTCGATCGCTCGGCGATGAAGGGAACGTGTGCTTACAGGCAGCTGCAGAAAGTACCTGTTGGGAAGGTTGGAGCTGGATGCTGACATCCCTCATCAGCCTGCTGCAAGGGAAGGGCTGGTACAAACACCGCTACCGCGTGCTGAGAGCAGCGTGAGCCTCGCTAGTTCCAGCAGTAATGCCTTCTTCACCTCAGAAGCAGGCAGCAGGATTCAAATGCTCAACATCTCAGGAGCCTGTGCTTGCACACACTGATCCTTCCAGGAGCATCAGAACTGGGGTTAGAGGGTCCTGCCCAGGGCCTGGATCATGAGAGATCATCAGAATGACAAAGCCAAGCCGTGGCAACAGTTAACAGATTCTTGGAGTTGGCAATGCTAAATCTGCTATGTAACTACTCAGTGTGGAGTACCAGTGCAAGTATTAATACCAATAAGATTAATACTGTAAGAGCCAAAACACAAAGAAAGCTGTTGCAGGCAGATGTAGAGTTATGTGAGCACTGAAGGAATGCTGAGGCATTCAGACACAAGATGGAAGTGCAAAGCCCCTCTGAGATTAGAAGCAGAAAGCTGGGGTTGGAAATGGCATGCTGAAAGTGAGGAGTGGGCCAGAAAAGGAGGAGTGCAAGTAGCAGAGGCGAGAGATAGCCAGCACAATGAGATCAAGGAATGTTCCAGAGCCCAGCACAATAAACACTGCTGACTTGAGCAGTAACTATGCAACGCATTCGGAGCAACATTCATGTTGTTTTCTTTGCAGTAGTTAAAAACAACATTTTTGCTTTCTTCCTGTATTTGAGGAAACTGTGCCTGTTCTTAAGGAGCACTGCTTGCATCCGCCCTGCCAGGTGCTGGGGAGTTCACTGCTGTGCTGCCAGTGTGAGACAGCCACACGTTCACCAGCCACACACACCAAAGTCCCCAAATGGGGCTGGCCACGTCACTGTGTGTTTCAGACAGCTCAGTCATGAAATGACAGCATCTGGCAAGCATTTCACACGCTGCCATTTCCACCTTCTAAACAGTGGAGCCAAATCATCTGGTGAGTTCCCATGAAATATCTCTACAAACTCGGGTCCGCAAAAGCTTGTTCCAACATTGTAACTATGGAACTTGATTAGGAGCTGTGGGAAAGCAGATTATGTCCCTTGGGGCTGCTCATGACCATACGTTTAAGAAGAAACTGGGAGAAGTCCCAGTTCCAGTAACTCAACTACTTTTGCTGATATGTTTGGCATTATGTTTGCTGTGCCTTTGTTTTAATGCATTCTATTGTTGATGGCAACATCGTAATTAATTTATAATCCATTAAGGACAGTCACTACTGAAAACACAAGGGCAGGCTGCTTGATGAAAGCAGTGTGTGCATCCCAGGTGGCTTCACTGCCATCCCAGCCTGCTCAACTCATGCACACACACAACAATTTCCACCTAGCAAACACACACATGACTAAAATGAATATTCTGTGATATGTTAGGAATTAATGCTTAGCCATGTGTACTTGCCAAGGCATCACCTTTCATAACGAGCTGGCCAGGATGTGGTTTAATCACATTAAGTCACCAAACTATCAAAGATAATTTGACATGGCCAAAGGCAATATTCCATTTTGTTGGAGACGTTTTACAGCCGGTTTAGCAGGAGGATACACTTTACCAAGTGTTAGCACAGATGTCTTAACATGCACCTTAAAGCTTTATAACCCATCTCAAAGTTGCAGCTGCATCTGAAAAGTTTGTACATGTACAGTGAAGTACGTTTCCACTGTGAGTTACTGAAAATTTCAGCACTCCTTAATACTGCAGAATGAAACCCCAAGAGAACATGAGGAAAAGTCACATGAAGAAAAGTCAATTACATCTGAGAGATTCCTCCTTTTACACTATAAACTATAGGTTTACAAAAAGCCAGTAAGAATCACAGTTTAATGGGATCAAATGGGGCAAGAGCACACTTCTGCCTCAAATGTAAATTGTTTCAAACAAAAGAAAGAAGATATTTGCTGCCTTCTGCACGCCCAAAGCACGTAACATCAGCACTTCAGAACATAAAGCAAAGTGGTGGCATTGTGAGCTGAAAGCACAGGTAAGGATCTGCACAATGCAGGAACAACGCTGCTGATTTTCACAGCAGAAGTTTTTCCTTCCTCGCAGGGTTTTACAAAGGATATGCTCTGACTGAACACTCTTCACTGCATATAAACAACCCTGGCAGCTTTGGCTTTCCATGTGTAAGCACACTGAGGACTGGGCTGTAGCGAGCTGTGCGCCTGCAAAAACATTCAGCCTAGAGGAAATCTGCTTCCACTCCTAAGTTAAACAGTCACTATTTAGATATTTTCCCAAAAACATGAAGTTATTCCTATTGACAACTTCACAGCATAAATGTATTTAAGATCCAGCCATCCAGCTCTGAAAAGAAAATCACTATGATGTCAATTAATCTAGAAATATTACCACTTTTAATTAAGAAAACGGCTAATTCTGTGGCTCCAAGTGCAATAACATAGAATTCAAAACCAAGACATTTTCTAACTGGACATCAGGAAGGAAGAGCTGCATCACAGGCCCCAAAAAATCGTTGGTGCTTCAAGAACACTGTGAGGTTTATGACGGACAGCTGCCCTGGAAAACTCCATTTTATACTGGATCTCTTATTATTTTGAATACAAACAAATCTGTAAACAAAAAAAACTATCAGACACCACGACTTCAAATGCAGAGATTTACTTTCTTGAAATACATACTATAAGAAAACGTAAAAAATACAACACGAACGTTTTGCGTGCATCATTCCATAATCCTCTGAAGCCGTGACAATAAATACAACAGCCCTACGTTGCCAGAGGTGGGGTGTGTGTCTCTGAAGAGAACTGCCTGTCCAAGTGGCACAGATCATCTCGCAGAATATCGAACCATTTGATTTCAAACTCCGAGGCCGATGCGGTTACCAATGATGACAGTGCTGAAGAGCCTATGCATTTTACCTCGCCCTGAAATTCCTCCTTTAGTTTTTCTGGTATAAGATCTGCTCCCATCACCTGCAACCGCAGTAAGAACAAAGACAGGAAACAAGTAATGGGACATTAATAACAGAACACAAGAACCATCCGCCATCTAGGAAGCGCTTCCAAATCACAACCAAGCTGTCTGCCTGCTGCACTGTCATAAATATGGAGGACTGAGAGCCCAAACTTCGCAGCTGCACAGCCCCTCCCAACTTCTGGTACAACTGTACGTGGGGAGTTTTGCCCTCTGAACAGCAGCACAAGCCCCATCACCAGCTCTGCGATCAGCGCCTGCCCCAGGAGCACCAGCAGCGATCTCTCACCGGGGGCTTCAGACCAAGGGAAGTGAGGAAAGCAGCTGCTCGTCGGCAGCCCTGTGGAAACTTGGGATAGTCTGCATGCTGCTGCCCTCTCATGGATGAAAGCCCACAGCTTCGCTTGCCAACTCGGCAAGGACTTGGCTTTTATTAACTGAAGCCTGACAATGCTGACAGTGAAGTTAAACATTTTTTGGCTTCCTTTTGTTCTTTTAAATAGAACTCCATAGACGCTAGAAATGTTTAAGCACTATGAATAAAGCCATACAACATCATTCTCCTCCTCTGTGGTTCTTTTAAGTTAGAACCCAGTACATCAAATGGAACAAAGAAACAATGTAAGAGGAACTTTTTCTGAAAATTTGCCGAAAGAACGAAGACTTGAATAATCCAGTACCCCTCAGTGACATCTCCATTTGCATTTCATACACGTGATTCACTCTGTGGCATCTAAAATGGCAGAGATAAAACTTGCTTCCCAGGAAATGCACAGCAATGATGCACCTGCAAATACAAGTCTAGCGAGAAACCTAACAACCGTGAGCATTCCTGTAAGGAGAATTTCAGCAGAACAGAGATACACCCGCATGACATAAGCCAGCTACACAGCTATCACAGTCAGTCCCAGATAATGCAGTACCAGGACATCGCCCTGGCTAATGTACCTTGCTTCCTGGCACGGTTAATTAGCCCAGGGGAGAGTCAGGCACCTGCAAGCATGAGCTGGCCCACGTCCCCCCACGAGGACCTGGCAAACACACACGCAGACAACACTCTCTTACCTTGGTCACCTGCAGCAGGGAGTTTTCATTTAAACCAAACTGTGCCACTTTGTCATCAATTTCTTTCTGACATTTTATGTTATTTTCGAGAGCAAAGGATGACTGTTGCAGTTGAGTAAGCTGAAGTAAAAGCCTGGAATGAAAATAAGCAGTTAGAAAGGGTACAACTGGAACTAAACTAAACTAAAACCAACTACAAGATAATACTTTAAAACAGCTCTTCTTGACCTTTGCCAGCTGAGGAAACAGAATACATCCGTATCGATCTATTAAGGTCATTCTGTGTGCACACAATGACTGAAGAAATACAGAGAAGAACTTCAGAATAAGGAAATGCCAAGTATCTCTGGTGCCTCTACACAACCATTTTTCCCCCCGTGCAGTTGGGGCACTGAGCATTAGCAGTGCTGTACTGAGTATCCCTCATCCTTATTAAGGCCTAAGGAGACAGCAGTGCATTGCTGCATGCAGCAGCGGCCATCTTCGCAACCTGAGAAGAGAGAAATTTGGTTTTGTTTCAACAAACACCAAACATCCTCACACAGGTTAGTGTGGGGGTATTTTCTAAAACCTTCCACCGCTCTTAAGTTGAAGGCAGAGGCCCACAAGTTGAGGAGCTGAATATAGCAGTGAATTTACCCATGCAGCACCCACGTCTCACATAAACCCAGCAGAGCTGAAAGCACCAGATAAGCTAAAACATAACCCTGCGATGGGAAGTTCACCTAGAGAAGTGCATATGCCAATACAGAATCACAGAATGGCCTGGGTTGAAAAGGACCACAATGATCATCTGGTTTCAACACCCCTGCTGTGTGCAGGGTTGCCAACCACCAGACCAGGCTGCCCAGAGCCACATCCAACCTGGAAACAAAGCACAATACCACCATGCAGTCAAGCAAGGAAATCCCAGAACTGCCTCCACTGTTTCAGTACGTCTGGTTCATCACTGAGATGAGAAGCACAGATTACTTTAATACAAATTAGCTTATTAGATACCAGTACTCAATCTGTTAACTTCTCACAGGCAGCAAATAAAGTCACTTGCTTTCAAAGTACAGATAAAAACTGTCTTTATTTTTCCCAAATGTTGCCCACAGAGAGCAGTTATAAGGTGTTCTCTGTAAACATGTTCAGAAGTCCATAAAACTGCACTAATCACATTCAGTACTGATACGTTATTGAGAGGCAAGAGGGAAAAAAAACAAGTCTCTTTTAACAAGAAACATTTCCTAATTATCTCTTTGAACTATTATATTTAGGAGATTTTTGTTCTGTGCAAGAATTTTAGGAAGAGAGGGAATAAAGAGGAAGAGCATGTTAATGCAGCCCTGTCAATCAGCTGCCACGGAGTTCATTTTTCAACCTCATCCGTTGTGCAAATTGGTGTATTATTAAAATAATACATTTTCACTCAAGCAAGAGGCTGCAGGCAAACAAGCCAGGTGGCACTTGCAGAAGGAAGACTGGCTCACTTCCCTTTGGGGGACTTCAGCTGCTGCATCTTTAATACCAAAGCAGGAACAGCCACGCTCTAGCAGAAGCGTTTAGAGGAGAAAAAATCCTTTTGTATATAATTATTTGAAAGGAATTGTATAATGGGATTATTTAAAAAATGCTTTACTTCTCAACAACACGTGACACTGGCTTTGTCTTTCCACCCAAATGTCAGCTGTTCATAGCTACCATGCTGGTGAGTTTCACTTCTTACATCTCAATTACGAGTCCATTCTTTTCTTTCTAGGTTGGTGTTACCAATGCTGGAACAAATCTTTAAATCAGAGATGTAAACTGAGTACATTAAGGCTGGGGAATAACATGCTTAAAATTGCTCTGGACTGGGAGAATCTCACATCATTCTAAGAGTGTACTTTGTTACCTTGCTCTAACAAATGAGGCACACGCCTTTACGCCAACATGCTTTGCCAAGTCCGGCTCCCAGGACTCGCAGGCTGCCTGTTTCCCTTCAGCCTTCCTTCCAGTGTTGTCTGAAGTGCAGAGCATTTCTGTTACAGCCTGGCTGCTGCTGCAGGTCGCTGAGCTCTCGCTCTTTGTTTCTGCAGCTGGGCAGGACAGAGGGCCTTCGCTCTGGCAGTCCGATCTGTGAGGCTGAAGATTAATCTCTCCTCCAGCTGATATTCCGAAACTACCATCACTAACCTCTCTGGACCAATGTAGGTTTGTTTCTGGAATGCATAATGGAGACAAGCCCTGCAAAAGGTCCATATAAGCTTCAGCAAGTGACATCCAGTACCAAGGGTTGAAGGGATGTAAGCAGATCAGCTGCTGCAGACACACGATCTTTTTTTCTACGTTTTCCAGATCCCGATAAATGGCAAACTGCAGGTTGAGAACAGTCGTTAAGTGATCCGTGTTTGTGGCACCGTTTCTCTGAAAACAAAAGAAAAAAGGATTATAACAGGAGCAGAAGAACAGAACCATCCTTCAGAGCTTAAGAAAACGTCTCCCCGGCTAATGACAGACAGACATCTCTAAAGGTAGCTTTCACTACTGCTCTCCAACATGATAGAGATCATACAAGATCAAGCAGGCAGCGATCCCTTCAATGGCCTCATCACAGTTTGAAAGAAGCCCGTGAACACTGCTGTTTGCTTACATGCATTACTGCTTATGTTATGCAGTCGCCCCTCTTAGTAATATGAACACCTTTTATATACAATGATCAGCAGCAATAACATTAGCAGATTTCAGAGCCTCCGGACATCTTCTTTTATGGGAAAAACTCCATTTGTGGTTAGATACTCTTCTTGGTGGCAGTTTGGCAGAAAAGTACATGGAAATAAAAGGAAGTGTTGAACCGATGCTTTTATAGTGGAAAGACTTAAGCATTCATTTATCCCCTTTCTTATAATTCCTATTACGTTACATTAATTCTGCCTGGCAGAGCATGATATTTAGTCCCTTCCAGGACTACCAGCTCCCTGCACAGGGAACTCATTGTGGTACAGGGTGTTCTGATTTCTAAAGAGTGATTATATCTGCAGTGACAGTTACCCTCTGTTTACCAAATACTCTGAGCACTGAACATCCTGAAGGATTAAACACACACAGATTATTTTTGCAGAAAATGGTCTGTATAAAAGAACTACTGGTAATATTTTTTGTGTTCAAAGGATGTGATTTACCATTCTTTCTGCAATATCCAGAGCTTCCTTGTGCCTTCCTAATTGAGACAAACAGCGAGCCTGGCCCTCCTGGACGTCCCGCCTCATGGCAATGTTACCAGGAGGCAAGTGCTGCAAGCAGTTTGAGTATTCACACAGAGCTTTCTAGTAGCATCGATAAAAAGAAAAGACAAGCAAAGCAATGAAACATTTTCATTTAAAAGCATGAGAGATTTTCATTTAAAAGCAATCCCCAAACTGATTTTTCTTCATCCCAACTCAGCTAGCACCTATTGGCAGCAGCACACAAAGGCCCCAGTAGCACATGGCCAGGCCAAGAGCTGAGCTCCAAGCTGCCCCAGCCTGGACAGCAATGGGCAGCCCCAGTCCTAATTAATGCCTCAGCCCTGTAAGGATTCACAGGGCATCTCTCCACCTCTCCCCCACACAATGCCTGATGCAGAAGGGACTGTATGAGCTCACCCCCAGGCCTGGGCCAAACGTGAAATAAGGCACCTTTATCCCAACTAACTCAGGGATCAGAGCACTCATCCTGATTTTGAGAGGCCTCACTTCAAACCTGTGCACTCCCTTGTGAGAGAAACAGGAGGTGAGAACCAGGAAGTCTGTCCCTCAGCCCACCAGAATAAGCAGCCAGTCGGAGCAGATCACAAGGAAAGTGAGTCTCCATCATTCCTGACATAAATTCCTCACAAGGTCATTGGAATTTGCATGAAATTATTAAATATTAATTGGCCCCAGGAAAAAGACAAGAATGAGCAATATGCTGTATCTTAATGCTCAGAGCACTCACCAAGACTCCAATTAACATTTAAATACATTACATTAAGTATTCAGTGATGCTAAGACTGGAATATTCGTTCCTTCCCCACTGTGTGAGAGCTCAAACCAAAAGACCAAAGAGCAGAGCTTTCTCAAAATGAAAATTCAGGTATTCCTTGCAAACTTGATCAGTTCTAACAAAAAGAGCCTCTAGGCAATATACCCTAAGTAGCTCCTGGCATAATGGCAGAAGTATGTCTCTTCCCCTGCCAAGCTCACATCCTTCTCAAGCAAAGTGAGAGTTCCCCTCTGTCCAGACAGACCAGAGAAGGGCTGCAGGACACTCTGCTTGCTCTGCTATGCAATGAAGGAGGAGGACGCTGGCAGACTCGGCATTATAAATCCCAAGCAGATTCTGCAGTCAGCTCTGTCCTAAAAATGAGCATGGCTTAGATCACTGCTCTCCTTGGCATTTCCCATCCAGTAGCTTAGGTTGGCATCAAAACTTTTCACAGTGAGTGAAGAGATTCCCGTTTCCTCATCTCCAGGCACTGATCTAAGGCAGCATTCTCAAATCTGTCACTCTCCCCCCTGGTTCTGGCTCTGCCACAGAGACCCAAGAACACTTGACGCCAGACACAGCCAACATGAATCAGCATGACAGAAGCCAATGGACGCTCTGTTCTCTGTGTCAGTTTCTCAGGGAAGGGAATCAGAGCGCATGGCAGGGAGCAAACCTCCCTTCAGGCAGGTCAGCAGCCAGAGCAGGGTGCCTGATGCAGCCTCAGGTACTTCTCTCTCTGCACACTTCTGTGAATTCCTTCAGAGCATCATTCATTTGAGACTGGAAAATGTCTGTCAGGAACAGACAAGGTGACAACAACACCTTATATGTAATAATAATGTACTATGTACTAATAATAGTAATGGAATAATGTTAAAAAGCCGAATCGAAACCAGATCCAGTAATCCAACGGATAGGGCAAGAAGAGTGCAGTCAGATGCTGTCCTGGTGGCTTTGGTATCAGGGAGCGTGCAATGCAAACCATAGCCTGGAACAAGAAGCTATGAGGGCGGAAACATGGACAGAAGAAGCTGATTGTCACCAGAAAACAAATCTGGGAGAACAAAAGACAGGGTCCTAGAACCAGGACAGTAGAGGCAAGATATCATCAGTGATTAGCAATGAAGCTAAGGAAGCAGCATGAGAAGAGGGTCTAGGAGTGCAACAGGCAGAAACCCAAATGGGGAACATGGAAGCACCTCAAAAGCATAACCAGCCACCCAGAGACAAGAGAGGGGGAGGACAGCTAATGACGCACAAGCCAACTCTCAGGAGACTGACAACTGCAGCCAGCTGTAACCTGACTGCCAGGGGGAGCTCTGAAAAAGGCGAATGTGATGTTGACAGCCTTGGTGGAACACGGCACTATCTCCACGAGTGGATAAATATGCACACTGAACTATGGCTGAACAGCATTTTCATGATTGCCAACAGCAACTGTGACCACTACTGAACCACTCTGATGTATATCTTTGGTATGAATTGGTTCCAAGTGAAAAACACCATTTCTGCTGAGCTGCGCAGTTTGTATCAGCTTCACAATGACAATGGGGGAAGGAGATGACATCCAGCTAGGAAAGCTTGCCAAAATGAAGTTAACTGTTACAGTCTGGACACATCTTAACTAGCTCGGTGATTCCTGCTCAGATCATGATTTCATTCAGGTGAATGGGGTGGTTTTGATGCAAAGTGCCATCAAGTTGGACTTCTATACCACAGGACCTAGCATCTCCAGGGCATGGAGAGGAGCACTATGAAGATGGTGAAGGGTCTGGTGGACAAGATATGTGAGGTAGGGGCTGAGGTCCCTGTGTGTGCTCAGCACAGAGCAAAGGAGTTGATGGGAGGCCTGATGGCGGCTGCAGCTCCTCACAGGGAGCGGAGGGCAGCGCTGAGCTCTGCTCTGTGTGACAGCGACAGGGCTGAGGGAACGGCATGGAGCTGTGCAGGGGAGGGGCGGGTGGGGGTCAGGGATGGGGTCTGCACCAGGGGGCGGTGGGCACGGAACGGGTGGGCACGGCCCTGAGCTGCTGGGGTCCAGGGAGCGCTCAGACACAGAGTTTGGGGACTGCAGGGATGGAGCCAGGAGTTGACTCGATGCTCGCTGGGTCCCAGCTCGGGATATTCCATGGTTGTTCAGACACATATACATTCACTAAACACATGAGGACTACAGGCCCTGAAGTTACACTTCAGCCACGGCCGCTGACCAAAGCCCCGGCGCACAGGAGCCACGAGAATACCTCAAACTCCCGTTCCCTGTAGGCCAGATCAGCCCGGAACTTCTGGGCCGTCAGTACTTCGGCGTCCTCCTCGCCGCTTGTCTCACCGCAGAACCACTGCAGCACAAACAAACCCGTACAGAGCATCTGCAACCCCACGGCTGCCGCATGCCGAGTCGCTCCCACGAGCTCTCTCGGCCCCGGCCCCGCGGACCCGGCCTCCCGCCCCACCCCGCCCCGGCTCCTCACCCGGGGCTCGCAGCGCTTGGCGCTGTAGGGCAGCCCGGCCCCGCCGCCCGCGCCCCGCTCCCTGCTCTGGGAGAACACGGCCTCCTCGAACTCCCAGCCCAGCGGCAGCTCCATCCCCTCCTAGAGCGGCTCTCCGCCGGCCTCGAGCCGGCAGCGCGCCCCCTGCCGGGCCGGAAGGCGCCATGAGGGCGAGGCTCGAGAGTGGCGGGCGGCGCGGCCGCGGGGTCAACGAGTTGGGGGTGCGGTGGGCTAGAGGGGCGGCGGCGGCCATCTTGGGAAGGCGATGCGACGCGCTGAGGCGTGGCAGGGTGGGCGGGAGACGCGCCGCTTTGGCCTTGGTAGCGCCGTCCCGTAGACGCCGCGGTGCGGGGATATCGCCATAGAACTCGGGCTGCGCCTCTTATGTGCCGGCTCCTCAGCGGCACTGGGGTTTGTCCCGTGTGTAACGGGGTATCGCCGTCCCGCAGGAGGCAGTGGGAGCCCCAGTCAACGTGAGGACGATCAGAGGTGGTCGTGCTGGAATAGACCTTGCAAGAGTGTCATCACTCAGAAATGCTGTGTGGCACTGGGGGTCTTACCATCACAGAATCATAAAATGGCGTGGGTTGGACTGCAGAGACCCCCCACTCTCAACCCCCCACCATGGGCAGGGCTGCCCCCCACCAGATCAGGTGCCTGGGGCCGTACAGCCTGGCCCTGAGAGCCTCTAGGGACGGGGCAACACAGCTCCCTGTGCAGCTATGCCAGCGCCTCACCGCCCTCTCAGTAGAAGTCTTCCCCCTAATCTCAATCTCTACTCTTTTAGTTTAAAACCATTCCCCCTTGTTCTGTCACTGTGGACCCGTATACAAGGCCAGCTTCCCTCCTGATCATAAGCTCCCTTTAAATATTGGAAAGCCACAAAAAGGTCTCTCTGGAGTCTTCTTTACAAGCCCAGCTCCCTCAGCCTGACGCTGTAGAACTGCGCCAGCCCTCTGATTTTCACAGCCCTCCTCTATTTCAACAACTCTGCGTCTCTCTTGTGGTGGGGGCCGCAGCCTGGATGCAGTACTCTAGTACTCATGAGGCTGAATAGGACAATCACTTCCTTCTCTCTGCTTCCAGCCCTCTGTTGTTGCAGCCCAGGATGCTCTCAACTGTCCACTGCAGGTGTACACTGCTGGCTCATGTCCAGCTTCCCATCCACCAGATCCCCAAATCTTTCTCAGCAGGGCTGCTCTCAGCGAGTTCAACCCCCAGTCTGTGTACAAATTTGGAATTGCCCTGAGCTAAGTGCAACCTTGCTCTTGGCCTTGTTGAACCTCATTATGTTCACACAGGCCCACTTTTCAAGCCTGTCCAGGTCACTCTGGATGGCAACCCTTCCTTCTGTTGTATCAGCTGCACTCAGCTTGGTGTCGTCTGCAAACTTGCTGAGGGTGCACTTGATCCCATCATCTATCTTTGATAAAGATGTTGAAGAGTACTGGCCTCCACCTGGACATAGAGCATTTATCACAACCCTTTGCCTGCGACTCTCCAGTCATTCTCCAACCAACTTCCTTTTCATTTTTTCTGACCAAAATGAGAGCAAAGGGATCCCATGTTTTGGGACAGCTGATGGCACCTGGTTGCTGGCATCTGTGAAGTGTTTTTTGGGAGGAAGGTGCTAAGAGAATGAAGCTTGTACTCCCCTTTGGAACAGGAACATTGCATTCTCCATAGTCCTGGTGAACATTTTGGTCACAGACAACTTAATGGAAACTTCATAAGATACTGTAACAAACACTTAAACCAAAGTTTCCCATGCTTAAATGATTTGCACATTTGAGGAATTATTCTTTTAGCATCTTGGTCCACTCTGCATGCCAGTGTCCATGGGAGTGTATTTCAGTAACTTCTCCATTTGATTTCATTTCTTCCCCAAAGCAGAATGGGAAACTTGTGAAATCTCAAGCTTTCAGAAGACAGGATTTTCCAAATCTCCCAAGACTGCATTGCTGTGTTATGGGAAAAGGCTATACAGCAAAGACCCATCCTAGAGCTTCTGCAACATTTAAAGGCTCAGACAACCTTGCAGATTAATAGCACCTTGCCATTCCAGCTGTCTGTCCTGCCTCATGGCACTGCCAGACACAAGGTGCTTTGTGTTTTAGGCGTACTGCAGTTCTATTTCCTCTCCCTGCCCCAGCAGTCCTTCCACCAGGAAGACCTGCTGCCTCCCATCTGACTACCATACAGGTTCAGAGAGGCTGAGATGAAGTTATCCTTGTAACTCCTCAATCCAAAAAGTAGACTGATGAACCTGTGCCTACTAGAACATCCTTTATGGCCACAGTTCTTGTTTGGAATATTTGAAAGGGTTCCTTCTATAGAGATGTTTGGTTTTGGTTTGGTGGTGGTGGTGGATAAATGCTCAAAATATCTTCCATACGCATAGCATAGCTATGGCTGGATGTAGCATCAGGACATTAGGGACATGGTTTAGTGGGCACAGTGGTGATGGGCCAACCAGTTGGAGTAGATGATCTTAATGGTCTTTTCCAACCTTAATGATTCCATGAGTCTATGATAAGCTGGCATAAATCCCTGGATATAAACTATACTCTGGCAGGTAGATTTGATCAAATTGAGGTTTCTTCTGCTTTTAAACTGACCATTTGGCAAAGAAGAGCTCTTGAACATAGGAAATTGCTTAACAGGTGAGTCTTGAGAAAAACAGGAGTTTGCTCCACATGATGCTTTTGATTGTTTTGTTATGTCAGGGTAGACAAGTACAGCTGGGGCTTCTTATATGTGCACACAAAAGCCTTCCAGCTTCCCTCTGCACGCGGACTGGTATGCTGAGCTCCTACAGGACAGGCAGAGCACACAGAAATGGATCTGCAGTCATCAGCTCTGGTGTCTGAACAGTTGCAGCATCTGCGCTTCTCCTCGCATTAACCGGACACATGCGCTCCTTTCCCAGTCCTCCAGGACTGCCAGTCATGCTGCAGCACAGCAGTCTGAGTACAGCACTAAAATCCAGCAAGATGGCTAGGAACAAATGGAAAAGAAGAAAAACAGAACAAGAATCATGAGTAATCAAAGTGAAATGCGGCCCCAGCACAAAGTAGAACACAAACTGCAAGGCGCTCCCAGGGGCAAATCCAAGAGCAGCCCGTTGGCTGCCAGCTCGGATTGAGGAGTCCTGCAGGGCTCAGGGTTTCAGCCACCATTGCCTGTGAGGATACCAACGTGGTCTGCAAAGGCTGTGTGTTGCAATGCAGAAAATGCCTTTGTCTGGTGAATCAATGATAGGAGAGAAGCAATTCCTGAGCGCCACGCAGGGGGCCTAGCAGCTGACTGCATGGTTTGAGTCATAAGTCACAGCATAACACTGCTTTTCTTCTTTTTTCCTTCCCTGGCTCTCCCCTTCCCCCACCTCCCCTCAGACATTTACAAGGCTCCTCGCGTATTAGTTACAGATATAAAAAAGTGCAACTGTTAGAAATTCCTCTGCCTTGTCAGCACTGGAGAGTTGCTCAATTTCTCCTGCAAGCCCCAAGTCATCAGTATAGCTGCCAGAATACAAATTCCCATTTTACTTAAGTAAAGCTGTTTGCCTGAGCTTGCGAGGCATGATTTGCCATGGTGCTGTTAGCCTTCGCTTCATGCAGCAGAAACCAACAGCCCTGGAAGAAGCAGCTTTGAGGGGCTTGCAGATACATAAGCCCTATGGGAGCCCACACTGCTGCAGCTGCTGTGTGTAGGCAGCTTCACGGATACAAAGAAGCCAGAGATGAATATTCCTACAGACAGCTAAGGTCATGCTGCACTGCTAGCCTAAAGCACCAGTTGCCCGTATGAAAATCAGACCAATGGAACCAAGGAGGCAAGCCTATGTGTTCCACGTTGCCATCAGGGTGAGCCCAGAGGAAGCCTGGACAGTAAAGGCATCTCAAAGGACAGGCAGGAATTCATTCTGCTGCCATAGGACCTGAGCCTTTCAGCCAGGAAAAGAAAACACAGCGTGGCAGACAGAGCTTGTTTGAATCCTAACAACCTTTCTTTAGCCCTGTCAGAGGCAGAATTAATTCAAAAGAATTCCCTCCACTGGTGCTTATTTAATTCCTGATATTATTTCTTGTATTGTGATAGGCTCTATGGGTCTTTGCCACAGCCTGGACACTTGTTCCAGGAGGAGAACACACACCACAGAGGTTTCAAGAGACCATCAAGCACACACAGTGGAAAGGAGAAATCCCGGCTGGTAGTGAGGGCCCTGTTTTGGTAGGCACTACCCACACACGTTGGCTAAGGAATAATGCAGCTCTGACATCGTTTATAGTTTTAATAAAGCAGACTGGAAAGGAGCTGCCCTTGGAAGGAAGCAAGGGACTCATTCTCTCCTCAAAGAAAGCGTGCTGCCTGCAGTGAAGAGAGCACTCAGGCCCACAGGCAGCGTTCCTCAAAGGATGGGTGGTTCCTGAGTCATCAAGTGGGATCTTCCAGACATTGTGAAATATTCATACCTTGGGGGAAAGATTAGTTTTCTTTTTCGACAGTCATAACATTGGCTCTTCTCTAAACACGTTCATGAAGAGAAGCTCTTTATTTGCTGACATTGTCTTGATGTGTCCTTTTCTCCCCGCACTTATTGTCTCTTGCCTTTTACTGAGATTGCAAGATCTCTACAGCAGAAACCATCTTTCATCCTCTTTGCGTGGTGCCAAACATAAGGGGATATTGTCCATGACTGGCACAGGAGGGTAACACAAACAGCATTTCACGGCTAAGGGCATACCAAGGCTATCTCCGGTACAAACTAAGAGACATGAAAAAGTGATTCAACAAGCAAAACTGCAGTTAAAGCTCTGGTGAGCTTTGATGAACACTAGCAAATGTTACTACCATAGTATGAGACACAACTGCAGACCTCAAGCGCAGTCTGTTCTCAAGCAATAGGTGGTCACACTGAGAGTGGTGAAAATCTGACCCCTGAGCCTAAGCTCCCAGATGCCACCAACCAAAATTAGAGCAAAATGATACTTGTCTCAAACTCAGCATATCTTCAAAGAAGGGCTGGTAGAAACAGGATGAACCTCCATCTATCTCAAGCTGGTTGAGAAACCAGCCAAATGTGACAAAGCTTCATTTGCTAAGTGTAGGTCTGTCCTTGAAGGTAAAGCGAGCACTAAGGAAAGGCAAGTAAGGGAGCTGAAATGGTTCCTCACCCTAAAAACTGCTCCAACACCCTACCCTCACTGTCTGCAACAGGAGGACAGGATACTGAAACCAGAGTAGCGTGAGCAGGAGTGTGCAGGCCAGTGGACCATGGAATTCCTCTTCTGTCTAAATCAGCCAGCCAGCTCACAGTTCTATGAAGACAGGACCAAAATGAATGGGGAGATGAAGGGCTGTGCATCACAGAAATAAGAAAAAAAAAGAACTGCTTGGTAACAGAAGCCAGAAGATCTCCATTATCTTAAGACAGATAAGAGAGGATGCATCCCCCAAAGACAGTTCATTTGCTTATCTACCTTCCAACAGCGCAGCCTTTCAAACTGCTGGTAAGCCATATTAACTAGGCCATAATCCTTCCCCCTCAGGTCTCACAAAACCCAATGAAGTTGTTACTGCCAAAAGGGTGTGCTAAGCACTGATGTGTTCGGCCATTAATGGGCTCTGCAACCATTTCATGCCTTGTAAGATGAATGCTGAGCAGAACGAGCACGCCCTTGGGTTGGACAGGAATGCTGCTGAAAAGAGGAATTTTTGGAAAGAAAGGTGATCAGATGCCTGGGACAGTCTTCAAGCAGTGATCCTCCCTTGCAGCTCCACACGCTTCCTGAACTGACAGGAGTCACAAGGATGCTGCTCAGCCATCTGTGGCAAGCATTAAGGCTGGACCTGACAACCAGCGGATACAAACTTGACACACAAACCACCACAGAGGCATCGCTGACCTGCTGCTCTAACTGGACCAAACCCCAGAGAGATGTGTATGCCTCCTTCTGTGCACTTTTTTTTTTTTTCAGTTTTATTGGTTTGCCTCTGAAAACTCATTAACTTCCCCTGGCAACATGGCAACAGTTGTGCTTGTTGCTTAATTGCTACTCGGGATTAAATCAGGCTGTGTTAAAACTTCACAGCTCCGAGGTCCTTGGGACTGGGAGGACTCCTGTAGCATCTCCTCCAGGACATCACTGAAGCATCTGCATCTGGCTGCTGCACACCTCTGTTGTACAGCACCTATTAAACTAAGCTGACACCCTACAATATTGTTCTGCAGGAACTGAGAAACAAATCAATAGAATTAGAGGCAAAAAAAGATAAAGAAAAAAAGAGGCACATCAAAGACACAGATCCAGGGCTTCAAGATTGCCCTTGAGTGACTTGCGGGCTTCCCCAGTCCCCGTCTCCTTGTCCATATGGAGAGGTAACTGCCTCCACATGGAAGTAACCCGTCTGGCTTTTTTTGATTCTCCAGTGCCTTGTTTCCCATGCTGAGCTGGAAAGCACCAAGTGGAAACTGCTATTAAATTTAGCTCATATGGCTTCATGCTTCCCTTGTCCAAGTATCGATGCCTGCAGAAAGCACGAGGCAAAGCAGAGGGAAAGCACTGCTAAATGCACACATGCGAACAAAATGCAGAAATTGAGAATGGACTTTGCCCATCATTACATCCTTCCTTAAATCATTGGAAGTGAAATGAACACCACACAACTTATACCTGTGGTGCAGTTTCTGCCTTTGTGGCGTTGCTAAGAAAAATGCTCAGGCATTTCCCTCACAGGGCGTCAGTGAGCCCCAGTCCCTGCGCTGTGTGCTGGGGGCAATGCCTGCACAGAAATCCTCGCAGATGGATTTCACCTGGAGGCACTGGGCAATGCTGGCGAGGAACTGAAGGTTTGATAGCAGTTAACAACTGCATTAATATTTGCACTGTCTCTTTTGATTCAGAGCGTGCCACTACTAGAGGTTATTTTGTGGGGCTTCTTTCACGTTAGTCCCTTAAGATGGACTTTGCTGCAATTATGTTTTCTCCTGTTTGGTTTTCATTTAGGGAAATAAGAAATCACTCAGTGAATTACTACCAACACCAACCTTGATCTTCACCCAAATCATCCAGATAAGCCAACCAATGTATCTCCCTTTTCCTGTCTTTTTTTTTTCTTCTACCAAATAGATATTATCTGAGACTGAAAGGAAACAGCCACAATGCTAACAGTCCAACATTACTGCAGTAGAAATATGCATATTTGAAGTGCAACAAGTTGTTTAACAACCAAAAATGTTGGAAAACAGTCAAACAGCCTGAAGACCACCACCAGCAGCGTTTCAAAGCAAAGCAAACTCCACAGGAAGCAACTCAACGTCACTCCAGAAGGGACTTTCTGGTGCAGAGAGAAAAGCAAAGCATTGCACAAAGTGGTATTCAAATTATTAAAAATAGCAGTTGACAGTATTGTTATGAGAACAACTGGAAGATGGAAGGGGCTGGGAAGAGAAGGCTGGGAGAGGAGAAACAAGCCAGAGGGCCAGCTGGTCTCCTGTCAAAATAGGGACTGAGCTGCAGTGTTTTGGAGTCATTGACAACACGGTAAACAAAAAGGTAACTGTTTAAAGAAACACAGCCCAAAGCTTTTCATAACTCTCTCTTTAGCTGATGGAATCTAGAACAAACATTCTTTATTTTCCCTCCTGATTTTTTCACTGAACTGAGTAAACTGTTTGGCCCAGCACCAAGCTGTCCCAACGGCGAGCGCTCGCCTCCAGCCCTGTGCACAGGTCACCGCTTCAGCCAGGGCTGTCATTTGTCGGGACTGGCCCACACCACAGCACGGGAACGGTTCTGTGGACTTCAGCTTATTGTCACGCAGGGATTGAGCTGAGGGCAGGGTGCCAGCTCCTCTCCAGCCAGGCCTCGAGAAGGGCACCACACAGTGGGGCAGTGCGTCCGCTGAGGGAAGGCAGCGCTGCAGTGACTCGCCCTGCCGGGATGCAGCATTCAACAGAACGTGCTCAGACCCCTCGGAGGAAAACACACATTTTACAGCAGCCCTGAAGTCACCAAGCGTGACATCCAACCGACAAGGACTCCAGCAGGGAAGTGAAGTGGTTGCTGCTCACCCCTGCTCCTCCAACACCAGGTACTTTCAATGTGAGCGCAGAGCAAAACGCTGCACGCAGCCCTGGCCTGCTGATGGGGCAGAAGAGGCAGCACCACCCTGCTGTACTGACTCACGTGAGGCCGCTTCGTGCCGGCTCCTCAGCCAGGACACGTCTCCAAACCTAACGCACCTGAGGCATCGCTGACACTCAGCTTTGTGGATGGGAAAAAAGACACCTCAAGAAGATGGTGACATTTTCATGCGAACGCGGCTGCTGGTTTCTGCACATCCTTTTTAAAAAGCACACAGTCAGTAAGGAGACATTTATTCCATTATTTCTGTTTTCAAATTTTTTGGTACAAAGTTTATTTTCAGAAGTTCCCACGTGATCCTTTCTTCTACCGGCTTCTTTTGGGATTTTTCTATCTCTGATTTATTTTCTTTATCTGTTGAAACAAAAGCAGTAGTTGCTACAGAAAGCAATAATGGCAATATTACAAATATTTTACAGCAGCATCCGTTCATCTCATTGCCTCAAAAAATAACAAAAATAAATCCAAAGACAAGATCCGTACTGCCTCAACGGCTTAGCTTTGTAATACCAAGCAGTGTGCTGCGTTCCCACATGTAAGTTGTACAAGTCCAGCACAACTTCCCAAGTTTGTGCAGAGCCTGATAAATAAGACACAGAAATATCAGTTACGTTATAGTGTTTCTAAGAACTTTTACTCTGTAAAATGTTTGGTCACTCAAAGCTATAAGCTTAATCACGTATCAAAGAACACAGGCAGTAAAGCCCATCTTACTAGAACATATAGTATTAGGCCAAACAAAATATAAGAGGACAAAATCTAGTGGTCACTGAAGCCTCTTCAAAAAAGGTCTAAAACAGAATGTTTCCATCATGTATCAGAATAAAAACGTAGTGTATTAAAATTTGATCTTTTTTTCTTTTTTACAAGCTGTCTTTTAATCAGTCTTCTATTTACAGTGCAGAACTTCTGCCAACTGCAGTAGTTTAACTTTGGCACAACACTAAGTTCCAATCCTTTTGAGTATTCAAGTCCTGTGTGTGTCCAAATATTTTCTTGGTTTCACGAAAGATTAGGCCCATTCACAGTTAACCAGTTATCTTGAACTTTTTCAACAACTGCTTCCCCTTCACCACATTGGGCAGCTACAAAGGAAAGACACTGTAAGCTATTGCATCACTCGTAAGAAACTCTTAATTCTAAACGATACTAGTAGTGTTGCTTCCTTTAACAACATCACATACACCAGACAGATCACACAGACTGCTACATACTGGACACCTTCTAAAAACCTTGCTGGTCGTTAGTGAATCGTCTTCCTCATATTCAAATACATAACGATGCATTAACTTAATTTCAATTCACATGTCAAACAGGACATTTAAATATATTGCAATGTATTATAGAAAATTGCAAAGCTCCATCATTTCTGTAAACGAGATCGACACCTGTTAACTCTCCTGTGCACATGAAGAGCAGTACCTAGTGCCACATTTTCTATACAATATAAAGCCTTCCCGGGTCGGGCAACTCATTTTTAGTGCATTTCTGTACAAACTGTAAGCATACATGCAGATAACCAACTAAGCAGAATTGGAAATGCTTCTGTAAGCTGGAACTGGAAGCATGGGGAACATTTCCGAATCGTAGTGGAGCTCTTGTGGTTGGTTGTTTTGTATCACAAATGAAGACAACTCGAATCTTCCATCATTCTGGCAGATTCTTTACAATAAGTTTCATTATAGATATCTAATACTGACTAAGTGTAAGGAAATGCTTTGATCAGTGGGGACACAAGCCTTACTTGTCTTAAGTAAGATATGCACAATCCGATGTTCATATACTAAGGTTCTCAAAAACTTTAGAAACCCCCAAGCCATGTTTACGCCACAGTTCTTTAACCAAGGATCAGTTACCTTATCCACCACTGCAGTGCCGCCTGCTCTAGAATAACAACCAAAACCAAAGCAAGGCCTCACACCTCACATGCACCAGGTGGGCAGCGGAGGACAGAACCACGGCTAACCACAAGGAGAGCCTAACGGGGCACAACGCCCAGTGCTGCCAGCCAGCCAGCACGCTCCAAGGTGAGGCTGCATCTCACCTAACTTCAGATGGCTCCAGTGCCTGCCAGCCACTTGTAACAGTCAGTGGAGTTTAGGGTGCAGCTCGTCTGATCGATTGTAGGCAGTCAGGATGAGCTGCTGACATGCACTCGTTTGCTATACCCATCAGCTGCTGCGGTGCCTTGCTCACGTGCAGACATCGACATACAATCAGGTGAATCCCACCTTAATTCATGAAAAGTGCCGTGGGATCCACAGTTACCATTCCACATTTTAAATGCTGCATTAAGTCATTTTTAAATGAGTAGCCACTGAAAAAAATGCAGATGCTCTTCACTGTAGAAGGAAAAAACCCAAAAGCTCGAAAATATTGTCTACAAACTGCCTGTGCTTCAAAACCTCCCTTTTCAAAAGTGAGATAATAATACACAAATTCAAGCTACTGAGCACGTACAGTTATAGAAATGTTCGCCTTCTGCTACAGCTTTCATTTCCTACCTAGCTTTAATACATCACAAACCTTAAGTCACTTGACCCAACAAGTTTGTGTCATGCCACATACCACATCTACTCAGCCCTAGGATATCAAAAGCCTGGTGGAGAACACAGGCATAATGCAGCACTGCTCAGGGCAGGGAACCGAGCCCTGCACTTGCCCTTCCCATCCGGAATTTATATGATCATCCCAGGCACTGTGAACACCTCTCAACTGTTTTACTGTTCTCTCATCAATACTATATTTTCATTACTACTAAATGCAGGCAAAATTATCTTCCAATAAATAATAAATTAAAGAAAGCAACTATATTTCATTGCGCTCTACATTTGTGTGTATTCAGGTAAGGGCAGGGATATTTAACATTACAGAATCTTAACAATTATCTTCTCTCCTTGGGAGATATGAATATACAGAGAGGAGGAGGTGGTGGAGGATGCAAATTGGGACCGTCGTATCTACAAAAGCAAACACTGAGATCCAATTCGAATACACAGTACTCCATTAAGTGCAAAAGGGAAAATACTCCTGACCTTAAACTACAGCTTATTACTCAGCAGCCAGAGACCAGTTGTCAGAGTTACTGCTGTGCTCTCATTTCAGAGGAAAATAGAGAAGGAGGAGGAGAATGTCTGCATGCTGGGGCTTTCTGGCCTTTGGGACTGCATCGCGCTGTGAATCACTTTGCATGGGCTTCAAAAGTCCTTTTTCTGCTCTGAGGAGGAGAAGGGAGTGTATTTGCCTGCCTTGGTGAGCAGGAGGAAAACAGGCTTTTGCCCAAAGTCAGGAAGTCATGCATGAGAAAAAACATTTCATGCCATGTGTGGATTCTGCATGAGTTTCCTTCAAAGTTACAGACAGAAACAATACTGCATATAATGCTGTGGAAAAAAAAAAAAAAAGTTTTAAAATCATTATTGGACAAAGCTGAAAAATCAAATGGCCTAATTTACTAAGGTGTATTAGAGATAATCCAGTAAATTCTAATCACGAGGTGCCAGATATCTTTCTTTTGCTTTCAAATCAAAGCAGAAATTTCTACATGCTAAACACGAAAGACTGCAACACTTGTTCTGTCAAAACAGCAAGAGTGACATTTGTTTTGCTCAGCAAGTTCTAGGTAAGTGAATTCTGCAGGGCAAGCAACAGGCAGTCTCTTCAAGATTCTGCATTTTCCCTTCTTTGCACACCACACAAGCACTCCCTTAGTTCATTCAAAGCAAGGGAGAGTAACTCTGACTTTCTTTTTATAACTCACACCAATCTTGGGGTTATTAAGAGGGTGTCACTGGGAAGCCAGCATTACTTAGACAGAACTGTGCTTTCCATTGTACTCAGAAGCAAGAGCAGAACATGCTATGAAGCACCGTGGCCAAGGACAGTGGATGGCTCACCAGCTGTGACACTGCTTGCTTGCTTTTAGCCCTTCTCCCTCTCAACTCTAGCAAAGGATTACCTTCATCCTCAGTTAACTTTATTTCAAAGACAGCATTAACTAGCATCGTAACATCAGGTACTCTTGGCAGAGACAGCAGATGAAAGAGAAAGCTCAACTTTTGCTCCAGAGGAACTGATGCTCATGTGAATTCAGGGGGAGAATGAAGATGTGCCGTATCCCCTCGACAATTTCTATTTCTCTCACACTATGCAGTATGCCTTGGGCACCACGGTAAGGAGCACAGCAGCCTAACATGAGATGAGATGAATCTGGACTAACCACAGTCACCAGCAGTTTTGAACTCCAACCAGCCACGACCACAAGTTACAGACAAAGCAGTCCGTCCTGTCAGCCACCAGCACGCTGACAGCTCTTTCCAGTGCTTTTCTTGTCATTTCTGATGCAGGAGGCCTCTGGAAGGTGTCTCCCTCTCTCCCACAGTACACAGTGCAAATACATACATGCTGTAAACATGAAATAAACTGGTAATTAATGGATTCTTCTTTTAAAACAAAACAGATTATAAGTAATAATAAGTGCATACAACTGATGTTTTCAGATCTGAACTCACACAGATTCTTCTCACCCTTGGCATAATAATTGAAAGACTTATAATGTGCATCGAGCCTAGAGGAAATGTGGGTACCCTGCATCTCTCATTATCCAACCCAGAGCTTGTTTAATTCAGATCTGCATTCTGAAATGGGGTCTCAATGGGCTGCAAATACTGTTAAAACCACTGGAATACAAAGAACTGTAATGTTTACAGTGTTTGAAAATCCAGATACATCAGCCATCCCCTCTGAACATTTTATGGAAAGAAGATACCCAATCCAACTATATTTAGTCTGATAAACAATGCATTTCCTCTTCCTGTGTTTTTGAGATCAGATGTACTAAGGCCTACCATTATAATTGAGTGTTATTTAACAGAACACTGCCAAAATGGAAAATTTCCCAGTTTAATCATATAATTAACTTGGATCCTTATTTTTCCCATCTTCTAAAGAAGGTTCAATGCAGTGATAACCCACATTAAGTCTCTGCTAACAAAAATGGGGATGTTTAGAGAGGTTTCTTGGGTCTTTTTGGGGGGGAAAGAAAATTAATTCTGGCTTGTCCTTAAGATTTAAGGCAATTCCAGATTTTGGTTGCTAAAAGCATATTCCCAAGCAGTTTAAAGATTAGCCTTAATTTTTTCATAAATTTAAAAACAGCATCTCTTTCTCTACTTCCTTGTCACTGTAGCAATTCATGCTGGAAACCTAGATCTCTCTTACATCACCTTGCGCCCAAAGTCACAGCACTCCAGAGAAACACTGCCAACAAAGCTCTGCTTCTCTCCCACCCCAAAGTCAAGCTGAGGGATTCTAGGCTTGTCCTCACAGTGATAAGCATCAAGAGATAAAGGCATCACACTGTTGGCTGCTTTGTGCCTTGGTTTCACTGACCTGAGTCTTGGATGCCAGGAAACAGTTTGATAACCAAAACTGTGTCACACACATCAGTATTTCTAGCAATCTCAGAAGGTCAGAAAAAGGCTTTCAAGAGGAACATCATCTTGCAATTCAGGCAGCCCATTCAATCAGAGAGCAGAAAGGTGTGCAGGGAGGACGGTGAGTCAGGTAAGTTAACAACACTTTTTTTTTTTTTTGGTCAGACATTATCCCCTTTCTTTTTTTCACCCAGGTTTCACTCACAATCTGACATGAAAAACAGATCTAACATGAACTCCTCTGCTTTGGAAAATCATCACTGAAAGCATTTCCTTGGACTCTGGACAGTCAGTTATCACAGTAAGGAAGAAGGAGTATTTCTTGGAGATGTAGAAGTATTAGGGAACATTTTCTCCACGCTAATCTCTCTTGTAGGACAACAGATGCAAATGCCTGCAGAGAGGATGTTGGCGGAGGTGTAAAGGGAGCTACTAGGATAGTTCCTGTTAGTGCCCATGTAAAGCAGACAATGCTGGTGACAGCAGCACCAACTCATCATCCATTTTTGACGTCTAAATATAACTCACCCCTAAAAAATACAGACTGACAGTAGCCAGAACACAAACTACTCTTCTTGGAGTACCAGTTTTCTATGATGTCAGATATCTGCATAGCCTAGCTTTCATGAATTTGGCCCATTATTTTTAAGTTGGTTATGCCACTATTTCATTACCTTGAAATTGAATGGCTTTTTATACGTGTACACACGTATAAAAAGCCATTCTATATATACATATACATAAGCACTTACTCAAGATGCAGATGTTCCCTATCAGATTAGACTACTTTTGGAGTTCAGTTCATGTAGATGAAACCATCTCTACAAATAAGTGTTCACCCAACAGCCCTAAGAACAGGGCTGTTATATCGGTGAGCTCAATTCAGTAGGATGAATTTTAAGTTAAACTTGCACGCAAAACATTCAATTGGGCTACCATTAACAAACAGTTGAACACTGGTTTGTTTCTCATTTTTAAGCACCTAAAAGGCATATAGCTTCATTTTGCTTGAAAATTAGAAAGCAGGTCACTGCCACCGCATACTTGAAAACCTTTCTTGCTAGCACCTGAAGACACTTTTCATCTCTGTATCTGTGTATTCATACAAAACCCTAAGCAATGGTGAACGATTTTTAGGCAGTTCCCACCTCACGTTTACCTTAAAATACAGTGTAAGATTTCAAGAAATTACTCATGTTCGTTAGAAATACACATAGCTTCTAACCATTTTCCAAAAAAGTAAAGAATGCACAAGCTAAAAATGAACGTTACTATCAACTGCATCAAGTCTGCCAGGCATTTAAATTAAACTGATGTAAGATATGCTGATTAAATTTAACAAAAAGCATTTTCTAGCAGTAAACTCATTCAGTTAGCTTGTAATTATCAGCAAGAAACATTTCAACACAAGTTCTGTAAACCCAAAACACTCTGAAGATACGCAAAAGGTGCCAAAATCACCTCATTTTCTTAAACCAAGCAATCCTCACCCCTATGTTCATTGATTCCTTTGTCACACTTTTCCCCTTCTCTTTTGAATTCTTTCCTTAAGAAATAAACCCAGGCCTTGAAACCTTTCAGGTGAAGTGATGTTTGCAAAAAGACATCTTAGGTTTTTGCATTTTCCTCCTTTGCGAGCAGGTAATGTTCTCCTACAACAACAAAAAAATGTGTCTGTGGTTTGTTTTTTGGAATTAAACAAGATAAGGCAATTAAATATTGAGAAGCAGTCACGTGAATGATGAACCTTCCCACTGGTCACGTGGAAGAGGAGGAGCTGAACTGGCGCTGATTTATAACCCCACATGCTCAGCTAGGCCCGAGGACATCCATCTCTGGTAGCAAGGAAGCAAATATCTGTTGCCTGCGCAGACAGCATCTTGCCCACGTTCCTTCAGGTGCAACGAAGATGCTAAGCAGGTGCTTGCTGAAGCTGAAGGCCGTGAAAAATTGTTTGGCTCTTCACCATAACATCAAACCTAATTCACGGGTTTTTGGCTCCCAGATTCCAAACTGCACATCAATCTGATTTTGAAAGTTTACGCTTAACATGTCGTGGGGGTTCCCAAGTATCGCTATCATCCGTTTCCTCTTCATCTTCCTGATCTTCCAACATTTCATCTTCCTCCTCATTCTCCTCAAACAGCTCTATTCCGAGTTCTAATCTTCTCTGCCTTTCTGCAAACCACTCTCTGACCTGCTCATACCCCATGTGAGATTTAGCTACAAGTTCATCAAGGTCTTGCTCATTAAGGAATTTGTGCTTCATATAGTAGTCCTTCAGGATTGCTGTTCCAGTTTTGAATTTTATGACAGACACGCCTCGGTCCCAGCAATTTAACCTCTTGCTTCCCCGAGGCCTCCCTCGAGGCCTCCCTCTTCCTCGCCCCTTTGGTCTTCCTCTCCCTCTCTTCCTTGAGAAGCCCTGGCCATTCAGACTGTTTGCATTGGCACTCTGGTAATAATAATACCACTTCAATCCCCCATTTTTCCAGGCATAGCGAGTATCTCCAAACCAACTCACAATTTCTGATCTTGGGAGCCCTGTTTCTTCTGCCAGCTTGTTGTATTCTTGTGGAGATGGCCACTGAGTACGAACAAAGGAGCTTTTAAGCATGTGCAACTGCTCTGGTGATTTTTTGCCTATTTTGCTTGGAGCAGAGCCCCCTGATTTTGACCCTGCTGTTCCATCCCCTGCAGATGTTTCTCCAGCTTCTTCTTTCGAGCTGCTGGCATTGCTCTCATTCATCTCAGTTCCCTCCTCCTTTAAGACATTAGATTTCCTTCTTTCCACAAACCAGGCATCAATCTCTCTCCTGGTAAGTTTGGTTTGGGCTCTTAACCTATTCATCTCTTCATCAGTAAGGACAGGATTATTAAGAAAACTTGCTTGGAGGACTTGCAACTGCTCAGCAGTCTTCTCTTTGAACTTCTGTGGGGTGAAGTCAGGAAATGCACTCCAGGACGGCTTGTTCTGTGGAGCAACTCCTGTTGGGGACTCATTCATTTCGTCACTTGAATCGATAATGATGGTGGCACATGAGTCACTGTTGAGATGAATCCCATGGTTATTCTTTGAGTTTCTCTGATTGTAGCGTGTATCGCTGAACCACTTTTTGATCTCTCCCTTCGTCAGGCCTGTTATTTTCATAAGCCTACTAATTTCTGAATCCTGAGGAAACTGATTTTTAAGGTAGCTGACCTTTAATTCTGCCAGTTGCTCCTTTGTTTTTTTTGCTCGCATGCCAAAGGTATCGGGATTCATTAGTGCAGTTTCATTTTTGATAGGCTGAGGGGCTGGAACGGCAGCGACTTGTTTGGTTTCTGCGATAGGCTGAGCAGTGTGAATCTGACTCTTCTGTAGCTGGGTTTGGTTTGGGACTCCTGCTACAGTCAAAGCTATTGGGGCCGTGACCGGTAACGTATTTGCACCTGCAACTTGAGTGAGAACAAGTCCTGGCTGACCAACTATTTGGCATGTCTGTAAAATTGAAGGTAAACCATTGCTGGCAGTGGAAATGTGCGCCGGAATAACGGTAATTGTCTGTGGCACAGTATGCACTGTGCCATTAAATTGTTTCCTCCTTGCTTCCTCCACTTCCTCTGGTGTCCAGCTCACACCATGTTTCAGACGTTGGGCAGAAAACCAGATTTTAATCTGTTCCTCTGTGTACTTAGCTTGAGTGGAAAGAACGGTGATCTCCGACATGGTTGGATACGGGAATTTGTTATAGGTGTTGAGCAAAAGAGGATTGTTGTCCAGAGCAGTATTATAGGTTGGAATGCTGTTTACAGGTATCAGGACTTTGGGGATCAGGTTTGAGTTCTGTGGAGCTGTAACAGCTGTTATAACCTGTGCCACCCCAGGCTGAATCACTGGGGTCACAACCGTGCTAGCCACATCGGCTGCACTGCAAACAACCGAATGGCTCGCTTTGGACTCAGAAACTGCCGGTGCTGGTTGGTTTTCTACTGCTTCTTCGGAGTTTGGCTCATTTTCCTTTCCCTTCTCTTCACCAGGAATGTCATCGACCACATTGTGGAAAACAGCGATGCGTTTAGTCTCTGTTTTGTTTTTCATCATTTTCATAATAGGAGTTTTGCTAATGGAGATCCCCGCGGAGGGGGCCTCAGAAGGGTCAGCCTGTTCAGCGTTTTCTTCTCTAACGAAACTCCCATCAAAAGTGAGATCATTTACTGTTTGTTCAAAGATTGTCTGATTATTACGTTTCACCATGGTCAACTTAAAATTCTCCTCTCCAGGGTGGTACTTCAAATTATGTTCTGAGAGAGCATCATATCTTTTGGTAAGAAAATTGCATTCTACACAAACGTAGGATGAATTTAATACTACATTGGGATGTTCTGAATCCACATGGAAAGTAAACATATTGAGATCTGGAGTCTGAAAAGTACAATATTTACACTCATAACCACCTTCTACTTTATTTGTACTTTTCTGATTGTCTGAATCCACACTCTCATGAACATCCTCTTCACTTGCTATGCTCTCTGCTGTAGGATTATTATCTGCTGGCGTGACTACAGGTGGTCCTTCCTCCAAGTCTGATACCATTTCCAGATCTGGATCTTGCTCGTTGGCTAAGACCATGCACGGTGTTGTTGATTTTCGTTTACTTGCCATGCCTGTTAGGTGAAAGTGATACTGACTGGTCAGATACAGACTTAGCTTCAAGCTCTTCTTGATTAATAATAATGGCTTTTGGTACTTCAAGTCAGTTCTTGTAAAGTCTCAACATTTATCCCATTAGCAGCTTTTCTTTTGTAGTGCAATCAGATTAAAAAGGGACAGTTGAGGATGAAATGTTGAGACACTGTTTTAAAGTCCACATCCACCACCTGTGCAAAGAAGAGACAGTATAATTAGTTCAATTTAAAGAGTACATTCTATTCTGATACACAGCATGATTTAATTCAACCCTTTGGTGTTCAATCTTCCACTGTTCAGCCCTGAAACCAGCAGACCCATTCCAAGAAGAGATTGATCCTCAAAGCTAGAGAAAGAAAGGCAAATTCCAACCCACTTATTATCGGCTGAAATTTATGCAATGAATGCAACGAAAGGCATAAGATAGAGAATGGCATAGAAAATGTAATCTTCTGTTTCCCTACATCATTTTGGCAGTCTTACTCTTGGGCTGCTTTATCTAGGCTACGACATTCTCTCTCAGCTGCAATGGAAACTCAAGTCCTTCCCATCACAAACTCATCCCCAGCATGACATCTCCACGATGATCTTGTTTGCTACGCCCAACGGAGTGAAGGCTCCTAGAAAAGGCATGTTTAGCATATTTTTCTACTGCATTATGTATGTACATATATGCATGCTCTGGGTCATTTCTCCCAAGTTTGAAAGCAGACAAAACATTGCCTTCTCAAGGCACTCCAACAGACAAGGATGACAATCCTCTCATCCTAGCTCCCCAGATGTCATTCTCCCAATTGAAGGCCAATCCCAGGCCAATAAATTGTTAGCATGTGGCAATTAACTACACTGTTTTCATGGCTCCATGCATTAGTTGGGACAAGACTGACTGTGCAAACTTCACTAGAGAAAAGGGATTAAAGAGTGACACAGTAGGCAGAAGCCAAAGAAAATTATATATTTTCTATTCAGAATTCTTACTTCATTTCTAAGAAAAAACTACAGAAGTACAAATTAAATTTGATGCCTACATAAATTCAGAGAATAAATATGTTCTTAAATTGCCCAGACTGGAGTGAGTTTTTATCCCATGGGGACCGTAACTAGTCTATTGGAAATGATGCACAAGCTACTGAAAAGGGTTATAAACTCTGTAATAGTTTCCTTCTTAAAATAAAATGAGACACCGATTTCTCGTGCCAGAAATCCCATAGATTCATGAATTTTTAGATAGCAGGACATCACCTACTTCCCAAAGCAGTAGCATGCTCAAGTGCAAGAGGAAGGTTCAAGCAGCTGTTTCAGAAGGTTTATGAAGGTAACAGCACGTAACAGGTTAAAAACAGAAAGCCAGTTTTGCTCATGACCAAATCTTAAAAGAAAAAGAAGAGCAGTTAAAAGGAAGAGTAAAGAAGTGAGAAGGGGGAAAAAAAATACCATTTCCACTCCAAACACAAAATTTTCATTATGTGGGCAGCAAAGGCTGTTCTTAACTTCACATTTTTTTCCTAAGGCCGAAGACATTAGTATTCATCTATAGCTACCAGACAGTTCTGCTCTGTAAACTGTTTTTGACACTGTGCACATCACCACACTTTTCTGCAAAAATCCTCCCCAAATGTTTGTAAGTGATCTCCAAATCTACCTGTATTTCTTCTCTGCACAGCCTGGCACAACGGACTCCTTACACCAAGGGTGTGGTTACACAGCATTAAGGACACCAACAGCACTGACAGATAAATCTTAGGTGATCATCATTTCAGGATTGAAATTGTTTAACAGCACCAGACTTGAAAGACACTCGTATTCCACAAACTAGTGCTGGCACTCTGGAAAATAGCACAGAGGTGCAAAAAGTATTTATTTTAATGTATATACAAAGTATGCATCACAGGCCACCTCATTTATCTCTGCAGTGAGAAAATCAGGAAGCAAAGCCAAATGGATCCATTTGTCTCCACGTTCTGAGGGATGAGAGGTAGGGTGCCATTAACTGTGCTGCTTCTGTGTGGGGCCAGAGGGCTCATCACAAAAGGCAGACAGCGGCCAAAACTGAACGCTGAGCAGTTCTCTTGGAGAAGAGCTGGGTGGTATTACCTAATCCTTCTGCCATCTTGAGTACAATTTCAGGAATACCAATTTTCAAAAGCTTCTTGGCAGCCAGGAAAGCTGGCTGAAGTTGCAGTTTGGAAGGTAACTAAGATGCCTTGTAGTACCCATCCAGAATGGAGAACATGGGATCCATCAGTATGCGGCTGCCTGCATGGGCACAGGGGCTTGCTGAGGGTCACAGTGGGCTGGCCCAGAGCACAAGTGAAAGAAAGCAATGTTTGACCTCACGCACAATACTGCAGCATGCCTAGATAAAGCTCGAGATAATAAATAAAGTGCAAACCCTGTCCAACAAATCAATAAGCGTTTCTCCCCTATTCCCTCCGTTAGCAAACAACATTCATAGTGCCTATAAGCCTACGTGCAATTGGATCATCTGTGCCTTTGTAGTTTAATCTCTGTAACATGTCCCTTTTTGCTGTGGTTTGGTTTTGCTCACCATGCACAGAAGATTATCCCATTCCTCTGCTGTTTACTGAGCAGGAAACTGTTCCTATACTCTCCTCCCTTCCCTGGAAGCACTCAAGGCCAGGCTGCATGGGGCTGTGAGCAACCTGGTCTAGAAGAAGGTGACCCTGCCTGTAGCAGGGGGTTGGAACTAGATGATCTTAAAGATCCCTTCTAAACCAAACTGTTCTATGATATTCATTACACTACTTTTTTTTTTTCTTTTTTTTTCTTTTTTTTTTTCCCCACAGGACACTGTGATTTTAGAATCCTGTGTAAATAAGAGCTGTCAAGAGCTACAACAGCATTCACTAAAATCTCAACAAAGCCAGATGTTTGCAACCTTTCTCAGCCTTCTGTCCTCTACAAACTGTACAGAAACCTCCACTCCCTTGCACTGGTTACCAATGGGATTACTTCATCTGCAGCATGCTGCTTGATGTGCTCTTTCACTTTATCGGGTAATTATGAAAACTCATACTTGCATAAAAAATCAAAGCAATTATGCATCACCTTTGTGCTTAAGTTCCTCTAAAACATCCTTTCTGTACTTCTTACAAGAACACCAAGTGCAGCCCCGCCATGTATTTTGTCTTTGGCAGGGTCTGTGACATCCTGTTCCCTTAACAGGGAATGAAAGTAAATTAATTGGCTTGGCGTGGTGTGTGGGACTTGGTTTTGAGAAATTCACCTTTTCTTTTTTCCTTAAAAGAAAAAATCTCACTCTCTAGGTGCTTAAAGACAGCTTTTTTTTTTTTTAGTAAATTTGTCCTATATATTTCTGGGTACGAATATTTTGTTAATTGATGTGTAATTCTCTGCATGTCCTCCTCCTCTGCTCTCTCATTTAATATTGGCCATTATGTTTGCTTGTTTCGTGTCCACAAAGACTACCCCTCAGCCTTCACAAATTCTTAAAGACCATTACTAATGGTCCTGAGGACACTTTGGCTTGCCCCTTAAATACTTCAGGATCAAATATATAAGAAAATGTTTTTAAGGTGTTCTATTCCTGTTTGGACTGTATTTTTATTTCTCTATACTGAAACTGTATTGTGCAATTTGGTTTCTCACAAAGTATTTCAAGTATTCACAATATGCCAAAAGCAGCATCTTTGGCTGGCTGACTTTATCCAGAGAGTTACAGTCAGTGGGTCAATATCCAGGTGGAGATCTCTGAGAGTGGTGGCCTCAGAGGTCCATATTGGGACCAGTACTGTTTAATATCTTTATTAATGACAAAGACAGTGGGATCAAGTGCACTCTCAGCAAATCTGCAGATGATACCAAGCTAGGTGGTAGAGCTGACAGGACAGAAGGAAGGAATGACATCCACAGGGACCTGACAAGCTTGAAAGACAAGCTCTTGTGAATCTAAGGTTAAACAAAGCTAAGACCAAAGTAATACACCTGAATTAGAACAATTCCAAACATTAGCACACAACTAAGAGATGAATGGCTGAAATCGAGATCAGCCTTGAATGTTTCAGCAGCTGAAAAAAAAAGGACAAGCTAACAATGTGTGCTTGCAGCTCAGAAAGCCAGTTGTACCCTAGAGGTGAAGAAGGGCACTTTATAAGGGCATCTGCGAGAATAAGGGGCAAAAGCTTTAAACTGAAAGAGCGTCTAGATTAGATGTAAGGAAGAAACACTTTACTACAAAGGTGGTGAGGCACTGACACAGGCTGCCCAGAGAAGCTGTGGATGCCCCATCCCTGAAAGCATTCCAGATTAGGTTGGATGGGCACCTGGGCAACCTGGTCTGAAGGATCCACAGCAGGAGGTTGCAACTAGATGGTCGTTAAGGTCCTTTCCAATCCAAACCATTCAATGATTCTTCAGTGGAAGAATCTATAGGAAAACTTTCAATTAGTTGCACTTCAGCTCTCGAGACAAACACCACTGTAACAACTTTTTCAAAATCTGGGGTAAAATTACATACAACTGACATTTCTAGCAAAACCAGTCCATAAAAGGTATTTTCCCAGATACAAACAAAAAAATAAAGTGAGTGCAGGCACACACATTTTTGAAGGTCCAGGAACTTGCATTTTATCTTTGAACTGGCAATTGCTCAGGACACAGCTCTTCAGAAATAGAACACAAACAGATACTAACCCCAATTCATTAATAATTTTACTAGGACAGACATCCTCCAGAGTGAAATTCAACACTTAGATGTTGTCTCCGTAGCAGATTTGGATAAAGATTTATGTAAGCATTTTCTAAACACAGGCAGAAACCTCTTGCCTCTTTGATAAGAGTTTTAGAAGGAAAAGACATGGTTCACAATAACAGAAAAAGAAGTAAAAGAACCCGTTTCCAGGACAAAATGATTACTCATCCCTTCCTTCCAGCCTCCAAACAAGAAAAGCTGATGCTGCACAAAATAAATGAGGTTACAAAACGCGTTGTACACACGTGTTCAGGCTGCATGCTTTATGAAAAAGTCATTTTCCCTACGTGCTGCATGACACCTCTATCCACCATACAAAAAAAAAAAAAAAAAAAAGAGGAAAAAACAACAAAACAAGATAGAGCCAAACTCAAATAATGCCATTGGAAGAATGTGCACAAATAGGGTAGCTTAGCAGAAGACTGAGGAATGGGAATCGCTTCTAACTTTTAAGATCACCTACATCATAAATTGCCTTTGTCAGCACAGAAAGCTGTGCTTTGTCTTCTTTGTACAGCTTCTGGTTAATCCACAACAATATGGAACTGTCAATCCTTTGTTTAGCCCACTCTTAACTATTACCATTCTGTCTGAGTCGCTGTATCCAAGCCAAGAACTATTCTGCACAGAGCTCAGTATAGCCATAATCTGCTCTGATGGGACTGCAACTGTACTGCCTTTCAGTGAGGAAGGTGAAAGATGATGTTTTACGGAGCCAGTTTCTTCAGTTGTTCAACACCTGCAAAGCATAGAAGATATTACTGCTTATTACTCTAAAATAAAACCAAATCTCAGTGTAAACCCCACAATATTCACATTTCATTCCAGTTTTAAAACATGTTCCACATCAAAATGGGAGCAAAACCTATCAGACTGATAGCAGTAGGACTTCAGGTGTGCTGCAATACAGGGGCAAGCTTAAAGTCCTTGCTGCATTAGTTTGCAATGGCTCCCGCAGGCAAATAGCTAAAGTTGCTCTACTCCTGCCCACATACACCTTCTAATAAGCCAAAACCAGACCTGAGCTGAGGCTGAGAAATGGGATGTGAACATGAAGCCCTCTGGAGACTAAAAGGAGCCTGCCAGAGAATATATGACAATCTTCATGGTTAACTCCAATCCTCGTTGGTTTTAAAGGATAATGAGCATGATATCCATCACAGTAAACATCAGCATTTTAGGTGAGAAGTGATCATTAAATGACCCATGTTATGTTTCTCTGTTAGAAAATACTTTCCGGGTACCTCTACAGTGAGCACAAATCATCCTACTGCTTTTGACACAAAATCATAGCCAGGTTTCAGGTCTGATCACATAAGAGCTACTGATCAAATCTGATAGGTACTTAACAATCACGGGTGTACTGGTGAGCCAGCATCTTTAACATATATGGCTCCTGTTTCTGCTCCTCAGGCACATAAATAAGCAAGTATTTTCTGTTACTTATTTTAGCAGCTCAACATCACGTAGGCAGGTCTTGATTTTTAGCCCCCTACGGTATTTAATTCACATTGTGAGCACTCAGTGCTTTTACCATCTCTGCAGGATCATTCTTAAAAGTAACAGACCTGGCTGATATAAATGTCTGTCATATCCAACAAAATGGGAGCAGAGTTGGAGACTGATTTTTCTGCATAGTTACGGCTATTTTGTTTTGCTTGCCGTGCTGTTACACTGAAAACGGAAAGGAAGAGGAAATAACATTACTGACCTGAAAAGATTGCAGAATGCATTTTGGGTTGATTAAGCATTTAATTCAACCCCCAAAATGTTTGCTTCAGGTTAGCTTTTAAAAACCATAACAGTTAAAATTGATTCGTTTTAGAAACTGTTTATGAAAAAGTTTCTCCTTAAAACATCAAAACAAAAGGTTTTGTTCTCCTGGAATTTCCTTCTTTAAAACGAAGCAATCTGGCACAGACACGACTTCACAAAATGTTCCTTTCAACTCAAATGTGCGTTTGTTTTTTTTCTTTCAGCTGAAAAATTTCTAGAGACCTTATCTTTCCCAGGCCCTAGCCTAGTGCTGGAAGTACCAGACCTTCCTTTCACTTCCTGGAGCTCGTGTCCCCAGGCACCTTTCAGCTTTTTCGGGGAGGAACGCAGCAGCCCTACAGATGGTCTCCTTTGCTAGATAGCCCAACTCATTCTCTCATCATCTCGTTGCTATACAGGAACCCCCGCGCTGTTAGAGGTGACACAGCTCAGCACAGATTGTCTCCCTCTCCTCTCCCCCTCCTCCACCGACTGAAACTAACTGTGCATGCCCTCGTCACACTGCAAACCAGATTCCAGATCAGCTGCTATTTGCATTCGTTATTATTTTCCCTTTGCTGTAGTGAAATGAAATCTCAACGGCAATTAACAGGCTTGGGAGCTCTCTACCCTTAAACAAGTGGGACGAGAGCTCAGGGCTTGCTAGCTCCCAGAGCTTCTCCACCTGACACCAGGCCAGCACCGCGCTGCTGCATGCCAATGTACCAACCTACTCACAGGAGGGGAACCCACTTAAGGCAGGTGGTCTAAAGAAGCATGCAAATGTGCATGACAGGCATAAAACTACTATCAAGAGCAGATGACAAAACATCCCGTGAATTTTACCTTGGATACTAAAAGGTAGCGATACATTACGGCCCATAATTCTGCCAAATTCTTTTCTTTTTCTCCCGTTTTCCCTCTCTCTCTCTGAAAACAGCAGAACACTTTTCTCAGACCTCAGGGCTAGATCCTTGCCAAATCTTGATTCCTATGTCAAATCCCTGAGGCACAGAGCTGTTCAGGAAAAGATAAAGTGGTTCATACAGAGTCTGCCTCAGTTCTGTCTCTTGCTTCCTTCTTCACTTTCTGCTCACTTTGCTTTTGAACCAGTTGAACGTTTCCCCAAAATTCAAGGAATTTTCAAAGAAAAACAGCCCTAAAGCAGAAATAAGTCAGAAATTCTCACATGAGAGATCTTAGGAAAACAAAAACAAGGACTTGGAATGGACTCACCACGAGATGCTAACACGCACTGCTACATACTCCATGCACAGACTTGAATACACCAGAATACAGATCCTGGATTTAAGTAATTTGTAAAAGATTCCAAAACATTTGAACATAAAAGCATGAATCCAGTGCTTGTAGGAGCCAGTATTCTATGAATAGAAATAAGCACATACATGGAGTGTCACTTGAAAAAAGAGATCCTACTGTACAAACCTAGTCCAGCACTTGTTGAGATGGACTTTAAGGCTGCCATCAAGGCTGCAACTACTCTTCAGAGCCACACAGGCCCTGTGGGCTTTTGCTCACCTGCACTTCCTTACTACCCCTTCTGCATGCCCCAGCCACACCTGCTCCCATCCCACCCCTTCTGAAAGGCTCCTACAGCACCTCAGCTCCACTTCATGAGAAGATCAAAGACTGCACTACACAGTTAAGTCTTCTGTTTATTTTGTCACATGCTTTGCTTCTCCATTTGCAAGTCAAAAACATGACTTTGTAGCTGACATTTCAGATATGTGTATCTTTTTAACATGGCTTCCAGCATCATATATCAACTTTACTGTAAGGCAAGTTACATAATTCAAGGTGAACAAAAGCTAAAATTCACCTGGTCCCCACTGACAGACTCCTCCATAATGGTGACATGTATACAACTTTCTGTCCATGCCTGCAAGCACAGCTGACCTTCCAGAATTTCTTCAGGATGTTATCCTCCAGCCTGATCCAACACTGATCATGCATCCACACTTTTCACTTTTCACAAGTATGAAACACTTGAGCTTCCCTCTCCATATGCAGGGCATTCAGACTCTGCCATTAAGTGCAATACCCCCACTGCAGTGCTGAACTACCATCAAGATCAAGACGAGAATGTGAAGCTTGCTTACATTGGTGAGTATCACAGTGCAATGCCAACATACCCTCGGTCTGCTCCTGAAGAACTTTGGGGCACAGCCACGGCAGTTACAGCATCTCAGTGCTGGCTATGGAGTGCAGGCAGTTGCTGCAGAGGTTGTGGAGATGTACTGGGAACTTTAAAGGCATTTTAATTCTTGGAAGTTTTCAAAACTTGGCAAGACCCAGAACAACCCTATCTAACTTCAAAGTTAACCTTGTTTTGAGCAGGAGGTTGGATTAGCCAATGTCCAGAAGGGCCGTCTGTTCTGCTTTATTTCTGGTTTAACCCTGCAGGTGGCTGAGCACCGCGCAGTCGTTCACTCAGTCCCCCACAAAGCGTCCCAGTGGGATGGGGGAGAGAAGAGAGAGAATAGAGAAAAACAAAGTAGAACTTGTGGGCTGAGCTAAAACTATTTACTAAGAGAAAAGGATTCTCCTAAAACCAAAACACAGAATCGTACCAGACACCCCGAAGAAAACAATTCCATCAATTCCGTGATTCTGCGATCCCAGCTGAAACCAGGACATCCCCCTGTGATTTGGGGATGCATCACCTTATAACAACAAGCGAGGAGGCCAGACTGAGTTGCCTGCAGAACCAGTCTCTGCAGGTCTCAACCACCTAATAAAACACCACTGGGTTCCATGCTAACCTTTGCAAAAAGCAAAGCATTTTTATTTGCAACAGTGACCCGACTCCATCCTCCTGCTGAGCACTGTTCTGTACTACTAAGATGCTCCTGCTGATTTCTGTGGGAGATAGCGTCTTATTCTGTGTACTCACAGAGTGGATAAACACTGTTTACTGCCAATGAGGCCAGTGACAAAAAGAGTAAAAGACATGGGAATACAGAGCTTTCCAAGGATAATGAGCTGAATAAAAAGCTGAATCTGGAAGTTCAGTCACCTGGGGAAGTCAGAGAGATAACAGTGTACTCAAGTTACCAGGGAGAAATAAAGGCTTTTAAAGGAGCCAACACCCCTTCCAGGCTCACTCCCCACATTCTGACCACATGCTTGACTTCATTACTTAATTTCCCCTCTCTTAACTGCCCAGATCCCCATTTGTAATCTCCACCTCCAGTCTGGGAGACGCTGCCATAGGTAGAACAGGGGCTGCACCTTTTTCTGCTTTCCCAGAGCTGTCAGTGGTGGGAGTTACTCTGGCAGAAGGAGCCCAGCTGTCCTGGCAGGGAAGAGAGAAAGTGGATTAAAGAAACAGGCTACTTTATTTCACCTGTCTGCCACGTACTGGTACAATCATGGAAAATTAGGACAACGAGATTTAAGTGAAAAGTATGCAGTTAAATAAAACGCTGTGCTTCAAATGAATAGCTGCAGGGCTTTTACATTAAGTTTAAACACAAAATCGGATTAGTTTTGTTTTAAAATATACAGGTAATTTAAAGCTGCATAGATATCCTAGGGTCAAAACAGTGTTCTGACTGATTTAAATGAGAACTGACAGTAGAATTTTATTTAAAATACCATGTGTGCTACAAAAACAGACTTAAGAAGCATGAGAAAACCTCAAGAAAATTGCATGCCACAGAAGATAGCATTGGGGGCCACGCAGGAAGAGGACAATCAGTGCTGCATTTAAGCATGCTATTATTTAGAGGAGGAAAATCAAAATCAATTAATTAGAAACACTTTGTTAATTTACGTTAATATTTTACGAATGCACTGAACACATTCCCTCGTAAGTAACACCTGGTTTATCAACATTAAAGCAGTCATCCGCCTTTAAGTGCACTGATCACTGGCTGAAGTACTGTTCTAACTATAAACAGATCCATTTTTATTAATGGAATATAAAAACAAAGAAAAAACAACTTGGTTAACATATACATATTTTCTTTTTAGATGCCACTTGGAAATTCTTGGTGAAAACATGGAATCAGTGGCAATCAATGACTAACTGTATAGAAAGCCATTCACTTTGAAGACAGTTGCACTGAGCGGAGATGCAAATCACTTTCTGAATGACAAGAGAAGTTTCCACCCCCTCAGAGCTGAAAAAGCAGGACATTTTATTTCCTATGTAAGATCTCCAGTTAGGATTTGAGCACGAGCTCCACTGGGGCTAAAACCTGAACATACATGGATATATCATCACAGAAACAATCAATGTAATCTACTAAGTGTAAGTAAGTATTGTATTTTGACTCCTTTATGGGTTTTTAAAAGCTTCAACAAACACATATTCTTGTATATTCTCCATATTTACAGCAACTAATTAATAATACAGACAAATTATGCTGCTTAGGCAAATTTTCAATTAAATTTTAATTTCCGACCAAATGTAGTCTGGCATAAATTGGGAGTGACAGGAGCTAATCGTCATCTGAAACACAAGATATGTGTAACTCACTATTTTCTAAGACAATGATGAGATGTAAAAATTAATAATGTGAGTAACTGAATGCTGAGGTAAACACCTGATAAAATAACACTTATAGAGAGAATTTATCCCTCTAAGCAAAAGTCTGCAAACAACCATGAAACCAAACAATAAGAAGCATTTGCTATTTATGAAAGATATCAAAAGTCCAAATGCAGTTCAAAACTAGAATAGATCATTTAGACCAATGCTCCATACGTTCAGACTTAAACTGTGGTCAAATCTCCCATATTAAATCATTTTGATTTCGACCAGTTATTCCAATTCCCACATATTTTAAATGTTTTTGAATTAATGCATTTGTTAAGTCACTTCCAGGGCAAGAAGAGGAACAGAAAAACGGGTAAAGAGAGGCAAGACAAAGTGTCTAATGTCATTATTAAATCAACCAACTCCAAGGAGTCCAGGATAAGACCAGGGTGTGGTGCTGAGAGAGACTGTTTATGAGAGTGTCCAAGTTTAGCATAAGAGAATAGGCAGGCCTGGAAAACCCACAGGAATCAAACGCATCTGTTGTTGTAGGCAGCCCCAGCAAAACGTTACTGGTTTGGTGGCCTGGGGCTAGATTCCCACCCTTCACCCCCAGCATCCCTTTCTTTTTTATTTTTTCTGGACAGCCAAGTACAATATTAGCTTGTCGGTTTCTTTTTGCCATCGTCAGGATGAGGCTGGGTGAGAATATTTTGTGTCTAGACTAATAAATGTTTGTAAGGGTTTTGCAAGACTGGTTTATGGGAACAGAAACCCCTTTTTGTTTTCTGCTGGAAAAAAGCAGCATTAAAAGCAAATGAGCACCATCATGCATTTGTTTTAAATTGCACATTACAGCACTGCTATTTTATGTGCAATCAATACATAATTTGGAAGAAAAATGCTTTTAAAATTCAGAGCTATCCCTGAGCAGCTAAGGTTCTCTTGGAAACTGAAGGAGGAGTCTGAAATTATTGTTCTTTTGTTTGCATCCCCCAGTGGGAAAGGCAGCACAACTCGAAACCACGGTGCTCTGAGGCAGCATGAATCATTAGGAATAAAGATCACCCTCTCATTTATGCATTAGATATTAAAACTGAATCTAGGACAAAGGCAAACCAAACAGGCTCCTACCTTCCCAAGCAGTTATCGGGTTAAATAAAATATCAAAGGGACTGTATAAATCCTGTGACTTCCTCTACTGAAATCAAAAAACAAAGATACTTAATGTTCTGCAAAACACGGACCATCTAGATCCCAATTACAAGCGTCAACTTAATCAGTGGAAATTATTGGGATAACTACGGCCCAAAACCTACATTTTCTTTTTAATATTTGTTTAGGAGGGTGGGGTATTTCAAAATGAAATGGCTGCCCGTTTCTATTTCACCGCTTTGGGTGGAAATGAGCGAATCTTTCCACGCAGAGCAGCACAGAGTTGCTGCCCTGGTGTCGGCGGGCGCTGGGCCCAGGCTCCCTCAGAAGCCGGCTGCCAGGCCCGAGCGCAGCGCGCTGACAAGGGCACAGTCCGGACAGGCTGCACACAGCCACCTGATGGGGATCGGCTCCAGAAATGGGTTGCTTAGTCCTATAAATAAGGGAACAGACTGACATTTTGCCCTCAAAACTAGCTCATGCCCATACGTGCATGGCCTAAAGCGCACCGGGAGTGCTGGCTGCTCTCGGTCAGTACGCACATGTGATCACACAGTACGATCATTTGCTCTGTCATAAGCCCCACAAATATGAATGCACTGGAAAGCTTTAAAGTCAAATTTCAGTGCATGCTGAAAGAGAAAGCATCTCCCTCTCTGTATTTCAGGACTAAAATTAGATATGTATTTCTAAGGATGTACATACACATCTATTTCCTCAGAACGTTTGCAAGGAGTAAATTTGTTTTATTTGTTTTATTCCAATGTTACTCTTTTCTCGCCTCTTCACTCCTTCCCTCGAAAGGAAATAAACAACTAATATTAGCATACCCCTATTTTTCTCCTGGCAGAATTCAAGAATTAGAGTATTAAAAACAAAAAAAAAAAAAAACAAAAAAAACCCAAAGGATGACCTGACAATAATCAGATCTAAAATGCTAAAATGCCTGTTTGCGGATTGTAAAATGAAACACCCAAAGTTGAAATCATCCTCAAAAAAAAAAAAAAAAAAAAAAAAAAAAGAAAAGAAAGGAGAGAGAGAGAAAAGAAAGAAGAAAAAAAGCCTCCTTCCATCACAAATTATTTCTGTTCATAAAATCAAAAACATTAGTTCTCTGCTCACCCACAGCCTCCTCCAGCACATTTAAATAAACCACGTTAAGAAGTAAAATTTGTAAAACATTTGTCAGATGGAAGGAGTAAAGTTGTGTGGGTTTGTATCGTATGCACACAGATGCCTTCAAGACCAGCATGTATCTGGTATGGGCACCAGTTCCCCCAGCACTGACCTCACAAAGCACCTTCTCCAGTCCCCATCCTTACAAAGAACCTCGTGGGAGAGAGCCCCAAGTTTCCAACACAACCAGGCTGGATGCATCGCGGTGCTGAATGCTCCAAGAATTCCACCATCCACGCTACAAATGTGTTTCGGCTTGCTGAGAATCCTACTGAGAAACAGAAACCCCTGAATTTTCATGCTTGCTTCATCCAGGCTCACTGTGCAACTGCTGCCAAGAGCTGAACTGCTGATACAAGTCTGATCTGCACAGCACCCTCAGCTCCTGCAGATGTTGCTGATGGCAGCTGACCTATTTATAAAAAAGCAGCATTTTCCTATTTTGAAAGAAGTCTGAAGATAACTGGAATGGTGACTTTTCGAAGAAGCACACAGCTGTAATGAAGGTTTAACCGCCACGTACTAATAACTGTTCCTGCCTGATTCTTCCAAGTGCCTCTCCTTCACTCTCCTGATGACCTATGACATTCCTACATCTCATTTTGTCCCACTGAGCTAAACAGAGCCCAACATTCATGCACAGTTCCCTTAGGAGAGTCTTAAATTCAACGGCATGTTGATGAACAAAGCATGTCTTTTTCTATAACGCAGGGAGAAATACAATCACATCAGTATCATAACCTGCTTAGGCTAACATACCTCAATTTATAGGAAAGCCAAGCATAGACATCTCCAATAAGACAGCCTGGGACTACACAAATACACATTTGCCTCTGAAATTCTTAGCATCCTTGTAAGGTAAGTCAAACCTATAAGGAAGAAATCATGCCCTAAAACCTATACCACGTGTACCTAACACACAGCACTCATTATGAGCTGGCAGCTCTTTCTGGCCCATTGTACGTGGTTCTTAAGATGCCCTGAAGATTCAGTGTGTGGAACACGTGGAGCTTTTACCATAACCACTGGAAAATTCAAAAGCTCCTTTCTGTCCTTCTGCCTGTGGGGTGGATTTGGCACTCAGGCTGTGCACAGAACAGCTCTGGCTTTGCCAAAAAGCGAGGGCTGGTGTTACACACGCCTCACTGCACAGCGCCGTCTGCAGCTGCTGAAACAAAGCTGTCAGCCTTCAGGGCTGCTGGGGACCAGCTTCAGTTGCAGGTGCCCACATGAAGGTCCTTCATCCTCTGCTGGGATCAGTGAATAAGAAAGGTGAGCAGCAGATTCCAAAAGCCACAGGGGAGGGCCAAGTTGCACAACGTGAACCTAAAATACCAAACGACTTTACTGAGTGGATCCAGACACAGTTTGAAGCCCATTCTTTAGCGGTAGAACACACTGGGCTCTTTTAGGCGTGTGAGGCACAGCAGAGTTCAAACTTCCGAAGGGTTTTTCATTGTTAAGGTACCCCATGATCTTCAACATCACTTAAGGAGTGCAAAAAGTAGCAACAGCTTTGAAGTTCTTTACAGTTTTTCCCTCCAGTGTTTTCCCATCCAGCCACATCTGCTGCTCCTTCAGTGGTCAGTAGTTCTCCTTTCAGTGCTTGAGTGTGATGATGCACTTTACACAACTCAAGATAACAGTAAAATAAACAATGCACCCTGCATCTGCATTCCTTAAGAACATACTCTTTCTCAGTGAGTTCTACTGAACTTTATAACAGTTACTGCAATCTCAAAGCACTGAAGGATAAGAGAGTGTCACACATCTCCCCACATGTGATGAGAGCAGACGTTTGCTGTGTTCAGACACACTTCCAAGGCTGGTTAGAAGAGATCCTGTTGTACACAATATGTTCCAGGCTCCTGTACTCTGCA